TCTTTGTGATCCAGCAGACTGCATCTTTTGTTTAGAAAGGTTCTTTATCACAATTGTGCCCATTAATACTGTGGTATTTCTGAACAAAAATTTTATCACCTGTGTCATGATCATCAAATCTTACAAAAGCAAATTCTCTCTTTTTTCCACTCTTCCTGTCTTCCATAATTTCTATGGTTTCAATCTTGCCATATTATTCACAGTAGTCTCTCAAATTGCATTATTCTCTGTGTTCTTTAATAACAGCAACAAAAATTTTCTTCACTGTTAGAGGGGCACCAGGATTTACTGAATCTTCTCTAGAAACAGCTCTCTTTATTACGCTACAATCCCATCAACTTTGTGTGTTCAAGCACACATTGCTGCCTCCTCCTTTTCAACACAAGAAAGAGTAAGTCACAAATCCAAAACCTCTGGAGTGTTTCCTTTGAGGATCTCTCATTAGCACACAATCTGTGAGTGTGCACCATTTCTTAAAGTGTTCTCTTAAACTATCATTGGTAGTTTCAAAACTCAGAACACCAATAAGAAGCCTCCTCAACTGCTCTAGTTCCTTTGAAACATGCCCCTCCATTTTGAGACTGGACTCACTTCTTCCAACATGAGTTCAATCACAATATAGGTTCTTATGTTAGGCATTGGAAATCTTCTAGATTTCTTAGGGTTCTATAGTTATTTCCTCCTCTTCATTCTTATTGTTTGGATTGTGTTTTGCCATTCCTCTTTTTTGATGAGATTAGTTAATAGCATATCTATTTTATTTTATTCTTTCAAGGAACCATCTTTATAATTTGTTTTTATGTATCTAGTACAGGGTCCTCAGGGCCTACATGTTCTCACTACACAGATGAGACTCATAGTGATTCTCCTGATTACAGCCTCCCAAATACTGAGATTATAGGTGCATGCCACCACACCCAGCCTCAGTGCACACCAGGGGACATTGCTGGCCCAGAAGGCCTGGGGATTGAACCCCAAGCCCCTGTGTCTGCCTAAGCAGGTGCTTTAATTCACCGAGCTATCTGGCTGGCCCTTACAGAACCATCTTTTTGATTCACTGATTCTTTGTATTGATTTTGTAGTCTGTATTGCACTGACATGCTGCTTTTATATTTATATTTTCCTGTCTTTCATAGGATTTGGGTTTCAATATTTCTTCTTTATGTATAAGGTTGCGTTTTATTATTAGGTTGTTTAGTTGAGGTCATTGTGTTTGTCTGATATGTGTATTCATCACTATAAATTTCCCAAAAACAATGTTTTTCACTGCATCCAATAAGTTTCTTTATGGTGAATCAACATTATCATTTAATTGTATAGCACATTGAACTTCATCTTTAATTTTGTATATGACTCATTGGTTTTTCTGAAGGATGTTGTTTCATTTGCATGCATAAATGTATTTTTTCTTTTTCTTTTTTTTTTATTTCTTTCCTTTTTGGGGGGTGTGGTCCCAGGGATCAAGCTCACCTTCATCTTGCCAGGCAGGCGCTTATGCCACTGAGTTATCTCCCTAGCCTTATAAATTTATTTTTTGTGGTTTTCTTTGTATTTGATTTCCAGTTCCATCATGCCATGGTCAGATAATATGCATGTGATTATTCAATACCTCTCTATTTATTAAGACATGTTTTTTATGTATGCTGTCTTTATTTATTTTTTATTAATTTTATTGAGAAACAACAATGAGACAGCTTCAAAACACGTTAGTAGAACAGTTACAATAATTAATACATTGCATATTGTTGTCTTTGTATTAGTTACTCATAGTAAAAAATGCAGACATACCATCCTGTCCAAACACTATTAGTATAAATCTTTCTTCTCATTGAATTGAGACAAAGTAGCTGTATATCTATGCTATTTTGTATATACAGATTATATATATATATATACATATATATCACTACAAAATGTTCCTTCATTTATGTCCCTTTTTTGTCACAGATAGGTATTCCATTGCCATTTCATTATTGTAGGTGAATGAATTCAGCAAAATAATCCAATATAGTCCAGTAGCCTGAAAAAGTAGTGGGTTATCTGTAGGACTGGTAATGTCAGAAGTTGTTGACTTGGGCCTGTTACAGGCAATGTATTGATATGATTTTTCTTTTCATACCTTGTTTTTATACTTTCTGCTGAATGATTAAGACCATGATAAAGCAAGAGCTACATAACAGGAAATGTAACTTTTGTATATGACAAGGTCAGTCAATTCCCCTCAGAATTTACCCTGAAACGCTGTACTGCAGTTCGTAGATCCTTTATCAGTGTAAGCCATGTGGAGGAGTCACTGCCACTGCTTGACTAATTTGCTCTCTGTGAGAGCCTGAGACATTGTTTTCTCTCTAGGCGACTCTCCTTACACACATTGTACATCATCGATCACTTTCCTCTGTGGCCCCATGATCTCCTTGGTCAGAAAATTTGGGGCACCACTCAGTTACAGGATGTTGCAGTACAGGTTCTCTTATGTCCTGAGTCCTCACAGACCTTTAGTGGCTAGCGCTAAAATGTTGACTATCGTTGCAGACCTTCTTTTTCTCTAATATTTGGTGGGCAAACTTAAGTTTTTAAACCTCCAGAAAAGAAGTTTAATGGCATTATTATCCTATAACTTAGGCACTTGTGCTTAAAGCCACTATCTGAATATCAAAAGCCTTAGATATAAAATGGAACAAGTATTTTCCATCAAGCATTGACAAGTTAAAATTTAAGAACCTACAAAATGCGAAGAAAAGAATAAAAAATAGAAGCATAAAAATATTTTTAAAAATAGAAATAAATAATTACATATTTTTACACAGAAATTTTGAAATCTAACTATATACAGCATTGTAAAAAGACAGTCTTATGACTTCTTTTTCCTGTCACTAGTTTTCATTTATTACCCTTTTGATGTATGTTGTCTCCTCTATCTATTTGAAATATATTTTCAGAACATTATAAAAAACTGTTTTGAACTCATAAAATTCTTCAGGTGTTCTTGTTTATGGAAATATCTTAATTTTCCTTCAATTTTGAAAGATAGTTTTTCTGAGCATCTCAATTTGGGTTAAAGTTTTTTTTTTTTTCTTTAGGCCTTGAAAGACTTCACTCCAATCTCTCCTTGACTTTGTCTTTTGTGTTCAGATGTCTGCTGTGATTCTATAGGGCGTTCCTTTACTGGTGATTTGTTTGTTTTCAATGGATTTTTTCAATATTTTGTCCTTGTGCTGAATTTCTGTAATCTTGATTATTATATGCCTTGATGTGGATTTATTTTGTGCATGGCTATTTGTGGTTCTGTATGTTTCACTTATTATTTGTATGCCAAATTCTTTATCCATTTTTGGAAATTTTCTGCCATAATTTCTCTGAAGAGATTTTTAAATGTGTTTTGTGCTACCTCCAGCTTTCTCACTGATTCCAATCAATCTTATGCTGTCACTCATTTAGTCCTGTAAATGTTGGATTGATTTTTGATGGTATCTTGTGATTTTAAAAATATCTTTAATTTCCTCATTACTAGTTTCATTCCTCTTCTGCATATATTACTATAACCTCCCCTTCATTCAGTCTGCTGCACACTTCAGTGGAATTGCCTATCTTCTTCATTTCTCTTTAGATCTGTTTCACACAATAGAATCAAATATGTCTTGATGTTTTAAATTCATTATTTCCATAAATGTCCGGAGTTCTTCTCTTTGTATATGTATATCTGCTTTATTTTCCTAATGATTTATTTTCTTACCTCAGTTATTATTTTCTATATTCTCTTCAATTTTTGTCTTCTGCTGCTATCATTTCAGAGAGCTCAATTTGTTTCTCTCTCTCTCTCTCTCTCTCTCTCTCTCTCTCTCTCTCTCTCTCTCTCTCTCTCTGTGTGTGTTCTGGACTTGTCCTGGATTACCTGAGTGTTTGAGATTGTCCTTTGCACTTTTGCATTGTCATTTTCTATCTTTTCTCTTCATTGATACTTTTAGATTTCCAATATTAGATGCCCTTAATCACTCATGTTGATGCTTTCCTAGGAGGATTTACTTCCTCCAGATGTCTGGCCACCATTGTTGCAAGACAATGTAGGAAGGAAGGAACTCAAATTTACACTCCTCTCACTGGTTCTATAGTTCAAAGTAATGCATAAAGCACCAGACATAAACTTACATTTCTCTCATTGATAGCAACTTCATTGTTCTCTCATGCACTGCCTTCACTCTTCCTGCCATAACCAATCTCCTAAAGTAATGGTTGAGGCACAGGGCACAGGTTTACCCTCCTCCAGCCAGTGCTGCCATCGCAATGCAACTTATAATGCACTGGGAATGTGCTTACTCCCCACCCTCTGCTACTATCATCCTGGAGCAATGGGGCACACACAGCGCATAGGTCTACAATCTTCCCACTGGCACTGCCTTCACTATTCTTTCCAAAACAACTATCCTGAGATAATGCGGAAGGCACAGGGCACAGACTTACTCTTCTCCCACTGGCACTGTCTTCCTAGAGCAATGGAGGACATGCAGGGTATGGGATTACTCTCTTCCAATAGGCAGTGCCATCCTGGGGAAATGGAAGAGGTGAACAGTGTTGGCTTGCTCTCTTCATATTGACACCTCCTTCACCCTTATGTTTTACCTTTTTGAAGAATAGTAGTGTAGATCTTACTGGAGAGAAAAGTAATTTTTATTTGCTTGTTTGTTTAACTTTTTGACTTGGTGGTTCTTTATTTGTTTTGGTCTCATTGCATCTGCATCCCTCTGCAGCTCCAAAACTGTCTTGTCAGTGTACAGCACAAGTATGCTGTGCAGTTTTATGCTTTACTTTGCTATATTTAATTATTTTAAATACAATATTTTACTGTGCTGAAAACTTATGTTTCTTTCTATTCTCAATTTAAATGTAATCTCTACTGTGATCTTTCTTAAGATGTTTTCATTATAATTAAGTATTACTTTCCTTTGCTCCCCAGACCTAGTATAAAACACACCATTAGAGTATTTGAAAATTTTATTGCCTGTCATTTTACATGACCATGTTCTCCAATCGAATGGAAAGAGGAAATTAATCATGATCATTTTATAAAGAAGAAACAGTGAAACAGAAGTAGAACAATAACTGAATATGTGAATAAATTCTATATTTTATATATCTATTTCTCTGTTGACTTTCAAATCCATCTAAATCAAAAGAGACACACTGATGAACACCCATTCACCCAAGAATATCCTGCTAAAACTTTCCAGGACATACCCATCCCCCAAAACTCTTCTCCAAGTACTGAGCCACAGCCAAGGTTAGGTGATCATTAAAGGGTCCAGCCACAACCTGAATTCCTAGAGGAAGTCCCTTGGCATTCAAACCCAGTGGACACTGAGTCACAGGCAAACCCAAGACATTGAAGATACCTGAAAGAAACAAACACATTCAAAAAATGTGAGAAGGCCTGTGTTAAAACACATTTTTCCCATAATCTGCCATAATAACATACAAAAGTTTTATGGTTTGCTATCACCTTATAAGTCAGTCTACTGTAGATTTTGTGTCTATGAAATATTTGAATTTTAACAATGAACTCAAAATAAGAGATATTAGTTTTACTTTTTTTCCTAATGAAACACTAAGGATAGAAAAACTACATAACCTATTTAAGGTTATTTTGCTAATAAATATTGGATTCACAAAATTACAAAAAATGATTAGGACAAGCTGAGTATTTTTCCACCATGTTTTTGCTAAATTGTGCCTGGTAGTGTTTTCAGAAAAAAAAAGGAATGAATGATACAGTAAAGTAAAATGTTCTCAAATGCATAGATTTTATTTTTCCTTGTAGACATTTTGCAATGTTAATTTCCATTACACTATGTAGAAAATTATAATTCTTCCATTCATATCACAAATATTTCTTGTAGCATATTCACATAAAATAATATCCTCCTGCTTCAAATATAAAATGCATTGATTGTTAATAAATATAAATAATTTTAAAATCAAGACCCTAAATTACAGTGAATATTTTTAACACCTACATTGTTAGTCCTATGGTACTCAGAAATTTCTTTTTAATTATCTTACTATAAAAATTTTAGAAAACACTAGTATGATTCTTACCTCCACAGATTCCTTATCCCACAAATTTCCATTGAATAAAATAATATAATATGTAATGTTTGTGACTGACATTTTGACATAACAAAATGTTTTGAGGCATATCCAAGTGGAGCTTTTTATTACTCAAATCATACTATTGAATGAAGAGGCTAAATTCTGATCATTTACTCACTAATAGATAGGCACTGTAAGCCTTTTCTGGCTATTACCAATTATGCTGTGATAAAGAGCAGAATAATTAACCACTTACATAGCAGTTCTTCAACATAAACATACTTTATATTCATGAGTAAAATAGAATGCAATTTTTGGTCAAATATTGAATTTGTATTTTATATAAACAAATTAATAACCAGACTGCACTGGTTATGAAACTTTACATCAAAAATGTATGAACAGGCCTGAGAGATAACTCAGGGGACTAAAGCACCTGCTTAGGCAGGTGCAGGGAACAAGGCTCCATCCTGGGCTTGCTGTGCCAGCCCTGTCCCCAGGCATGGTGAGATGACCATTGGGATTACAGGGGCATGTGTGTAATCCCAGTGCTTGGGAGGCTGATCTTTGTAGTGAGACCCTGTAGACCCTGCGTGAAATACATAAGAACACAAAGAAAAGAAATGCATGAGTAGTTTCTGTGTCTGCTTATGAACACTATTACTTGCTTAGTACAACTACCTTACTAATTATTCAAGAATACTCCATTATGGTTTAAGTGTGCATATAGCAATCTACTGACCATATTCAAATGTTTTATGTATTTTTATTTATGGGCAAAAATTGTCCATATATTACAGTTTAACCACTTATTGCATGCATAATTTGTAAATATTCTTGCTCAGTTGTTATCTTTTCTTTTAACATAATTTATGTGGGGGGTTTTGAATAGAAATTTTCTAATGCTTTATGAAGCCCAATATTTAAATATTTTCTAACATTCTATCATTATGTTTTCAGTGCTGTATCTGGCACATTTTGACTAATTCAAGGCTATAAAATTTACTGATGGCTTATTTTGGAAGTATTTTACTACTAACTGTCAAATTTGGGTATCTGATACATTAGAAGTGATTTTATGGGTTATCTCTATAATAGAAACCTAATTCATTCATTTTTATGGTTTTTCCACTTTATTGTGCCAGAACTAAATATGCCAAACATGAACCTGAAGATATTGTAACACTACAAAAGCTAAATCACAGACAGATGCTTATACAATGTAGAGACCAAAGGTAAGTTACTTGAGCCAAATTACTGTTAACATTTAAGTATGGCAATTTGCAAGGCAGCTGATGTTTCAAATGAACCTATTCTGCTTTCGCTCAGAAGCAATTTATAATCATTCCAAATTCCCTTCCTCCATACCAAAAGAATGGATATGAGAAGAGAAAATTCATGATTAATCTCACAACTTGGAGGTTATATATGCCATCATTTTAAATTACATTAGTAATATATACTTAACTGGTTGTGTACGATGACATTTCATTATGAAACAATGAAAACTATAAGAAGGATTTGATATTATTAGTTATTTCAGTTTGGTGTATCTCTGGAGGGAAATATGTCATAGAGTATCAACTATTATTAAGATATTTATGCTTTAAGGGAGATTAAAGCACATTCAGGCAGTGTGACTGAGTGACAATCATTAAAATAATGGTGCAGAGCCAAACATAATTATATATTAACAGAAAGTTAAATGTTTCTACTTGCAGAGATGTGACTGAAGGCTTTGAAGTTTCCTCTGAAAAGAGGCTTGTTACCTGAGGTGGAAAACATAGGCATATTGAGTCATTTCTATACCCTTTAGCATTAATCCTAGATTCTTCTTCAATAAATTGCTCTGAAGAAAGAATGGAATTCTCAGGGATATTCCATAAATAGTATGAAGTAAAAAGTGAGTTAGGATATCAGTATAATAGGAAAAACTTTGAACCACACTATCTATATTACCGATTTAATACAGAAGGATTACATTTTCTTCTGATTCAATATAGATCATACAAAGCTATTTTTAATGGTGTCATGTGTGGCTACTGAAGAAAAACAAATATGTCTTCTGTAAATTTCTTTTAGAATCCAGCTATGAATCCATCATGACCTGGAGTTTTCTTTGTCTGTAGGTTTTTATTACAACTCGTACTTCATTGGTTGTTATTGGGCTATTGAGAGTGGCTATATGTTGTAAATTAAGTTGTGGTAATTTGTACCTTTCAAGGAATCTCTCTATTCCTTCTGTGTCTTCTATTCTGTGAGAGTAAAGATTCTCTAAGTAGCTATTGATAATCTTCTGAATTTCCACTGGGTCTGTGGTAATTACACCCTTTCATTCCTTATTGCTTCCATTTGAATTTTTTTCTTTCCTCTTTTTGATGAGGTTAGTTAGGGGCTAATTGGTTTTATTTAATCTTTCAAAGAACCAGCTTTTTGCTTTGTTAATTATTTGAATTTATTTCATGTCAATTGAATTAATTTCTACTCTAATCTTTATGATTTCTTCCTGTCTGTGGGATCTGGGTCTGGTTTGTTCTTCCTTTTCTAGTTGCTGAAGGTGCTGCATTAGAGTGTTTATTTGTTCCCCTTCTGTTTTCCTAATGTATGAGTTCATGGCTATGAATTTCCCTCTGAGAACTGCTTTCATTGTATCCCATAAATTCTGGTAAGTTGAGCTTGAATTTTCACTGAATTGTAGATATGGTTGAATTTCTTGTTTAATTTCATTTGTGACCCATTGGTGGCTAAGTAGGGTGTCATTTAAATTCCATGTATTTAGGGTTTTTTTTCTGGTTACTTTTGTCATTTATTTCTAGTTTCATTGCACTGTGGTCAGATAGTACATATGGGATAATTTCTGTTTTCTTACTGTCTTAGTTACTCTTCTCTCGTTGCTGGGACAAATACCCGACACTCAAAATGAAGGAAGGAAAGGTTTATTTAGCTCACAGTTACTGGAGGTTTCAGTCCATACTCAGCTGGGTCCAACACAGAGCAGCACATAGCAGAGGGCAACCTTTCATGGCGGCGGCAAAGAGCAAGAGAGCCAGGGAGGCAAAGCAGCAGCTCAAGCAGCTAGCTTCTCTTCCCACCTTACATTGTAAAGCAAATTACCTGCCCCAGGGTAGGGGAAGTACTCACACCTATGGGTACTTCCCAGTATTTACCCACCTATGGGTAATCCCAGCAGTACTAAAACCCATAATCCCAGCCTTGAATCACACATAATCCCAGTGGATCATGAGTTAACACAAATTCTAGAAGTCCTCACCCCATGACTGCATGAGGCTTTGGGGGGACAACTAGACACAAACCATAACACTTACATATACTTAAGCATGACCTATGGAACAGTATACAGTCTATTCTAGAAAATGACCCATGTACAGCTGAGAAAAAAGTGTATTTAGCTGTGTTTGGGTGGAACACTCTGTATATGTCCACCAAGTCCATTCGTTTTAAACTCTGGTTCAGTTCTGTTATTTCTTTTCTAATTTTTTGTCTGGTTGACCTATCTTTTGGGGATAAGGAGGTGTTAAGGTCTCCAGTTAAGATTGTGGTATTGGATATTAGATAGTTCTTGTCCATTAAGATTTGCTTTACATAATTGAGTGCTCCCGTGTTTGGTGCATACATATTTATCGGTGTTACCACTTACTCTTTAATTTTTCCCCTAGCCATATATAGTGACCTTTTTTATTTCGCTTGATCATTCTTGGTATGAAGTTGAGACTGTCTGAGAATAGGATTACTACCCATGCTTTTTTTTTTTAGGTGCAGGGGAGTATAATATTGTATTCTGTCCTTTAACTTTCAGCCTATGAATGTCTTTATGAGTTAAAAGTGTTTCTTGTACACAGCATATTGTTGGATTTTCTTTCCTAATCCACTATGCCTGTCAATTTCTCTCAATTGGTGAATTCAGTCCATTTACATTGATGGATATAGTTGAGATGCATTAACTTACGATTAACAGCATTTACTTCTTTTTTCCTGTGTTTAATTGCTTGCCCTATTTATTTGGTTGCTTTTGATCTCATTCGTGGAGTTCTGATCATTTTGGGCCCTCTCTAGAATAACTTTCAGTAACCTGTGTAGAGTTGGCTTTGTCGCAATGAAATTCTTTAGTTGTTCTTTGTCATCAAAGTATTTCACTTCTCCATCAAACTTGAAAGAGAGTTTTGAGGGTATAGTAGTCTGGGCTTGAATTTTTTTTCATAGAAGATTTGAAGTACTGTGCTCTTTGCTCTTCTTGCCTTCATGGTTTGTGAAGAGAAGTAGGCAGTAATTCTGATAAGTTTTC